TTGATTGCAATATTGTTTGTATTGGTATCACTTTAGTATTTACAGCACATCATTGGATATGTTCAAGCAAGTCCCACGAAAGTATGCTACCCAATATCAGATGGACTCAAAAAAGTTCTCGTTGAATATTCCGGCTGCTCCACATAAGTACAATGACTACCTACATCCGAAGTATTCATTGCCACCTGTGAAAATTGACATAGAAGACGTTCAGGTAAATACTCGACCCGAATGTGGGTAACTTGTAACCTAAAAGGTGAAAAAAACCAATATATCCTGCTTTCAGTGGGAATTCCAACAACTTCTTCGAACTCCGGGTCGAGCAGTACGCACTAGCGTTGGGACAACGACCACCACAAAAGTGTCAGTTCAACGAGAACAAACGGCATGCTCATGTCCCAGCCTTTAGGTCCCTTAGTTCCAAACAACTCAGAGCCTTAAGTGCTTTTAAAGCTGTATACGGACTGAATATGCTCATATCACGAGAACATATTTCAAGTCTACGTTTTCTTATTTCCAGTAGAAAATTCTCTTCGGTTTTTAGGAGAGTAAGGGTTCTTTCACGGGTTAATCTATAATTTTCCCTGATTGTTGAAACTTCTTCTAATAGAATTTAGGATTAGGGTTCACAAGACCTTTTCTATTAGGGTCTATGCCTAGCGATCTCTATTTTTGGCGTTGTCTATAAAATTGTAGAATATGCTTCATGTCTATAGTTAATCTGTATGCCGTCAAACTTGGGACATTTGCTTCTTATTATATTTGTTATTTCTCCTATTTGTGAACATTTAATGCTCAATCCGGATTTAGCATCAGTATTGTTGCCTTTCTGTAAATAGTCGGAAATAAATGTATTCAAAGATAGACGTCGTTTACAAATACAAAATTGCTGCTCTATATTTAGGGTCTATGTTTTCATTAGTCTATGCTGAAAATGACAATAGAAGATAATTTGCTTGCGCTTAAAATAATTGCCCAACGAAATTTGTCCTTGCGCAATAGAGTTTGAGAAAATGAACATTTATCAGAGCTAAAATGATTTTCCAAGGATGGAGAAAATCTTGACGAAGCAGAATATGACTCCATGACCTATAGCGAACCTCATTATGCCATGACTTCATGAGGAAGTATTGCTCATGTTTCGAATTAACTTTGTTCGCCTAATTTGCAGTTGAAAAGGAGGCAAACTGTATTATACTCGATGTCCCAAAATTGCACTCTCACTTCTGCTATCATTGTTATTCCTTCCATTTTTATTCGAAGATTCTGACTCTAACCACCCACCAAAAGAACAGAATTCCACTTGTGCTTTTTTCTTAGACAAAAGCGGAGATTTTGGTTATGCAAGAAGAAAAATAGAAGAAAAATGCGTGGAAATAAATAAAAACTAAAACGGTGGCTTCATTTCTTTATTTGCTTTCCTTTTTCAGTGGTCACGTCCCATCTAAAAATAGATGGTATGATTATTTTAGAAATCTTACTTCGGAGTGATTAACTCGCTCCATGCCACGGGAAAATCCTTTTCAAAAAAAGAGGCGAAAGGCTTAAAAAGTT